TGACGTCATTTGGCGACACAGCTGAGTTTCCTCCAGATCAGGTACTCATGACCTGCCGGTCCGTGCCTCGTGCGGCGGACCTTTCGGAAACCCTTGGTTTGTGATGCGGCAATTTGCTATTGAGGCCGTCATGCATTGTCGAATTTCTAGAAATTAAATAAGCTAAAAACGGTTTCCTCAAAAATAGCTTTTCAAACCGTGCTGGTAGTCTGCTCGCCAAATGTTCTTCGCTGTAGCTGGTCGCTACAGACCAATCATCATCAGGCCTACAAATTAATTCGACCGACTTCAGTTCCAAGGAAAGGGGTAACGACAGTAAAGACCGAATATAAAACAGTAATCTCGAAATCAACAACTTTCAAATTGCATCTAATACCTGCTACCTAGATAACGATTTAGCGAAATCTCCGTGAAACGCGCTTGATTAATTATTCACCGGGTGTAACATTAATCCCGGAGAAGATTCTGACGTGGAATCTGAAAATTTCGAGTAAAATGTTCTGTTAATTTCGTTCGTCCAGCCGGATGGCGGTAAATCGGGTTCCGAGCTTGATTAACCATTCATCCATGGAGAGAGGCAGGCTCGCGTCTCTCTCTCTCTCTCTCTCCTTTTCCTCCCGATATCGCCAAGTTACGTAATAAAAAACAGAGCTGTAGAGAGAGGTTGGCGAGCGGTAAACTGGCAGTCCGCCTCTGAATTCCTTGTTAGACCAGACCCTGAATCGTTGGATTTTTATGTAAGCACGTTACCCCCCTAATTTTTCCCGAAGGAACGGCCCACTCGAGGAACAATGGACGTCAAACGACGCACCGCTCAAGGAACCTTGCCCACCTTCCTACCCCCTTCACGCTGCCGCCATAACCCGAGCCTGGTATTTCCAGCGGAATCGTGCCACTGAATACGCGCGTTCTTTCCTCGCCAAGCAGATTCTTGCGTATATACGAATAAGGCCGCGTAGCGCGCCTCGAGTATGCCGTAACGATCGCTGAAAACGAGCATCGATTTTTTTACTCCCGAGGAAGGAATCCTTGATAGGTCTTAAGCTGGCTGTAGAGGTAGTAAAAAAGGAAAATGTCTTTTTCTCCCTGGATTATAAATTTCCCCAGACTTTCGTGCCCTTTTTAAAATTGATATCCTTCGAGGTACCAAAAGGATCGCCGTCGTTTCGGAATAACTCTCTCCGCTTCGTCGAAAAGCTGTCGATTCTTTGAGACAGGTGAATCGCTCGAACAGTGAAAGAAACAACTTCGAACGGTTCCGTTAACCCTTATGTCGATAACCAGAATTGTCTACTTTATCTTGAAATTTTAGTAGTTTTCTGATAAGAAAATTGGAAACTCGAGGCAAACACGGATAGGAAATGTGCGAAATAAGAACGATCTGGCCGGATATTTCAATCTTTCGCCTGGAAGATGAAATGTTTCACGTGAGAATTATGCAAAGGGACACAAGGGTTAAATAAGAAACAGCGTTGCGGAAAGAGAGGAAGTAGAAGAAAATTCGAAGATCACCGGGCGCAATCTCCTCCGTCTCGAGGAGGAGACGATTGCGCGGGAACAATGGTGTCGGTGACGTCGACCATGTAAAAGACATGCATCTTGCGAACTTCGAGCGCAGGTATCTGACTGGCTGAAAGCGGTGCCGCGTAATACTCTCGAAAAGTAGTCCAAGTGAATAATGACTCCGTACAATAGAGTTTCGAAACCTCTCTCTCTCTCTCTTTTTCTCTCTTAAACTTTGAACGCGGGAGAGCGCATTCTTTCGGCCGGTATTTACTTTTCTCGAGCGCATTAGCGACTCGAGCGAGCGGCTAAGTTTTCGCGGTTTTCCGTCGCGTTTCTGCGTTCGAATTTTTCAAACCCGGTTCGCGTTTGCGTCACGCCGTCGCGAATAATTCAACGTGTCGCCGCGTCGTTACAATTTCACTGAAAGAGTCGAGAGGTCGCTACGCCGGAGCTGGACGCGTGTGTCGTAGTCTTCTTCGAAACGAAACTTCTGGAAAAGGAGGCGAACGTTCCTCCGTCCATGTGTGAAACAAAACGGAAGGAACGGAGGAGAGAGAGAGAGGTTTGGAAAACGAGCGACGTTGCCTACACGGTGAAACGCAACGCCCCGTGGAAACTGGTTCAAGTGAATAATGACGCGAAACAATGCGAGCGCTCCACTTTGCAAAAAGCCGTATTCTTTGACGACGCGGCCACTCGCGTCACCAGCCGCGCAATTGCTTTCACCTTTCGAGTGGAACCGCGAGAAAGAGCGAGCACCGGAGATCCATACGTGCTTTCTAAGACGCTGTTACGTCCGTTTTAAACCTTCCACACGCCCGAGTGCTCTGGAAAAAACGTCGATCCATCAAAAATACCATTTCCATCAACTTCAATTTTCCTCGCAAAAACTTCCTACCGAATTCTTCTCCAGCTAGCCTCACAAAGTAGTCTCGAACTTTCTACCAACGCTATACGCACTTACAGAACTTACACCGAAGCGCGCATTTTCGAAAAACACAAAAATTCACTCCGCCAACGGAGTTTACTTCGAAAAAGAAGATTCACAGAGATAACGAACGTTTTCAGGCCCTCGAGCACCGCGCACCATCGTTCCCGAAGACTGTAAAACCACTCTGCCCCTCTCTCTCTCTCTCTCTCTCGCCCTTAGATAAAGAAACTCTAAGTGCAAGCAAAATTTCCCTCGCCTCTGAAAACTGACTGGTTCGAGCCTCTCCCTCGTCCACCCGTTCCATATCCATTCCAACCGGATTCAATTTGGTCGAAGTTACCCCGGGCGGGCGCGGGCGATCCGCGGAGTAAAGGAGCACCGGCTACGTAGACACGATCGCGGACGATAAATCATCTACGGGGACGTGAACGCGGCAAGCGTCGTTGATCGAATTCTTATGAATCGCGCGATTCTCGCCCGAGCCTTGATACAGATTACTCCCTTATAGAACGGATAGCCGAGTATTTCCAGCGGAAAGAGGGACGAGGGTAGAGAAGAGAAGCTGGCAGAATGAGGGGAAAAGAGAAGGGAGAGACGTGAGATCCGTCGAATCACAGGACAATCGGGTCCGACGAGTCTAGTCGGATATTCGACCTCGTTCCCTTCGCCAAAGCTCTCCTCCATTTGTCTTCTCCACCCGCGAAAAGTCTCCTCTACGTTCTCTTTCCCGCTCTACCCTTTTTCCTTTGCTTTCCTCTCTTCTCCCCTTCTTTCCGAGCGCCGCACACCCGGCACGAACAAAATCATAAAAGTTTTAGCCTACAACTCTACGTGGACGCGAGGCCGAGCTCGGGAAAGAAGCTTTTCGGTGTTAGTCGTTCCGTAACGTTCCCAGTCGTTTGTGTTCCCATCTTGTTCACGTCTATACGTTCCTTCCCTCACGTGCACCACTACCACTATCGTCATCACCATCCACCTCCGATGGTACGTACGTGTTTGGCCAGCCGCGTACACACACACACACACACACGTAGTGGATATAGGATTTGAATGTGTGTGTGTGTTGGTGAGACGGCCGTGGCTCGAGTTTCGTTCGACCATTAGCAGCAGCCGTCGGTCCTGAAAATCAGAAAACTTCCCGAAACTGATTCCATCCCCTACCCTCCGAGCCAATTACTTTCCACCTCGCGGATTTATCGCGCCACGTCTTTTGATATTAATCGCGACTTCGACGCCTTGTTCGTTAGGATGGCTTTGTTTTGGCGTGGTGGGCTAAAGTGGATGTTAATTCGTCGGATGAGTTACGGGGAAGGATGGAGAAGGTGTTGGTAGCTCATTTGCATCACGCGTCATCGTTTCGGTTTTCTTATGGGAACGAACAACAAAATATCACAATATACATTTCGCGTCGCTCTCTCCCGATAAACTAGTGTCCGGAGAGTTCCACTAAAGTCGAGTGTGTTATAATTGTTGTGTGCGCTTCGAGAGCTCTTTTTCTCTCGTTCTTTTTCTCGAGTGTCTACGTTCGCTCTTTTATCAACTCGGTGTGCGTTGTGATTGGTGTGAGTGTGGAGGAGGTGGTGGAAGTGGGTGACGATTGGTTTCTTCGGGTTTGTTATATTGCTGCGTACATAGGATTACCGGTGTCGAGGGTCTGTTTTATGGTCTTGACGCACGTGGTGTCTTCGAAATTTTTACTGTAATAAAGCAATTTACGGGCCATGCCAGCTAAAACTTCTCTTTGCAAATACTGTTTTTATGCAAAAGGCCGACGTATTGTATCATTTTTGTACCGCTTCGTTAAAACGGATGGAGTTACTTGCGTTTTTTCTTCCGGGGAATAGAAAGTGTCACCAAACTTTGGTAACTTTCTCCTTTTCTCTCTTTTTCTTTTTCTTTTCAGAGAGTAGTTTTCTCTTTAACGGGTCGACTAAGTGATTCTGGAACTCACGTTCGTTTGTTAACACTTTCTCAGAGAGATTCTGTAGGACGGTGGGCGATGTATTCGGGGACGCACGTGCTGCGTCGGTGGAAGAGAGGTCCACTGTCGAACGGTCCATGCGATCGGTTAAAGTTCGGAGCCTCGAATCTCTGCATCTTTTATCAACAGAGCACGCGTAATACGAATATCGCACATTTTTACACCTCGATCACCTTTCATTTCGCTAAATTTCGTTCAAAGATGCTCACACATTCTTCTCCTCACTCACGCAAACCTGAGCCATCGCGTGAATCGTGAAGAGTAGCTTCGATAAAAAGAGCTTCGCGCATACCCAGCGTTATTCCCAGGAATTCCCTTTGCCCTCTAAACACGAGAACGGTGAAGAGGATCAGCAGGGGGGGATACGCTTCATTCGTGCAATAATTGCGAATTAATTGCACGCTAATCGTTTCGAGAGCCACCCCACTTTGCTGTTCAACGTTTATATCCGTAATCTCTTTTGCGCGAGAATAAATTTCGGAGAAACAGAGATATAAAGAGAGAAAGAAAACGAAGGGGATGAAAAGCGAAGTGAGGCGAACGATCGACTACTCGCGTGCGTGTGCTTTTTTCTGTTTCCAGAGCGTTTACAATCTGCTGGGGGAAACTCTGTCGAGGTTGCAACAGTACGCGGAAGCGGAAAGGTGGTTCCAAGCGAGTCTGGCCAGCCAGCCTGACCACGTGCCGGCCCACATCACTTACGGAAAACTTTTGGCCCGAAACGTAAGTAGTTAGCTGTTTTAGATCGGTTCACTCTTTCATCGGACCGCGGATCCAGTTCCCAAGTTTACCGCGGCTCCTGCCTGATATCGTTCGCCGGAATTTTCGCGTTGTACAAGCCGGCCAAGATACCGGAGGCCCGGTATCCTCCTGGAAAAACACGAAACGCCGTAGGGGATATTCGAGGAACTTGCCGCGTCAAAGAACTCTCGAACAACGTTTCCAACCGCGCTCTTCCCTCTCTCTCTCTCTCTCTTTCCGTCCTCGCTGGAAGATTCTAGCAGGATCCTTATTTTTTTTCTTTTTTCTTGAGTGGAGGAGAATAACTGTTGGATCGTACCGCGTGAGTAATTTCGTCCTTCTCGATGGTACACGTTGTGCGT